CAAACAAACACAAATAAAACAAGCAAGTCTTTCGGGCTAATAGGCTCGTTATTAATTCGGAGTTTGCAAATGATTTGAAACAACGATTTCTGTTTTCTTTAATCCTATCTCAATGAACGGCGTGAAAGGTTTTTCAGGCATTAAACAGACACTGCTATTTTAACTCCCTCTTAGTGTATGTGTGTGTGTATATATACATAAATATGTATGTTTATATATGTATATAATTTTGTCCTTAATTCTAGACTCTAGAGTAAGAAGCAAGTTTATGAGGTAGAGGTTTAAAGAATTGGTTTTGATGCAAGAGACCTACGGTGAAATTAAACTAGGTGGATTCTTTATTAAATGATTTTCAGTCTTCTCTGTTTTTATGAAAATAAAAGGCAGCACTTTGTCATTTTTAACCATGTAAGTAGCCAATAAATCTAATTTTCACATTGATTTCTGTAGAAATTAAGTGATATCTACAGTATCTACTGTGATTTTTTTTTAAAAAACAAGTGTGACTTTCTTCTGTCGAAGGGTGTTTTTAAACATAGTATTTGCAAAATTATTCTTTTAAATGCCAAATGCTTACAGATAGCATCTATTTAAACCAGATAAAAATAACTATATTATATATATTTCATATATAACTTATATATATAAAAGCTTGACCACGCAAATCTGAGTTGGCATCTAGACAAAGAGTTTTATAAAATACGTTAAGGCAGACATAGCGCCGCACTGGAAAATGTCTAACTCGTGCTAATTACGGCCTTGACTAACCGATGTCGTTCTCGATCCTGCATCCGAGAAGGAGAAAAAAAATAAAAGTAAGGAAAGGAGAAAAACAAAAAGAAAAAATAAGGAAAAAAAAAAAAAAGGAAAAATAAGAAAAAAAATAGTTCGCACCCCGCCTCTCTCACACAGGTAACTAATGAAGATCTCAGCGCGGAGCTCCGCACTCCGAGCAGCTTCCCTGATTAAAATGTATCCCTGCCCTAATTGCMAGCCCAGCGCCACGTGCCGGGCGCTGCTGCGCGCCCGCCGGCCCCTCCGCGCGCGCGGGCGCAGGGCTTTGCTTTAGGGCTCCGCAAGAACAGCTTCTTTTAGCCAGCGGGTTTTTTAATAGCATCTTTCCCTAAATAATAAACCAGATTAATAGTGCTCAGTAAAGTGCTATTGATCTCTATTGTATTACAGCCCATGTACGTATGTGTATTTGAATATATATAATCATATATCCCTGCAGCGCCGGGCTGCTACACGGGCACAAAGGCTAATTTTGTTTCGGGGTTACGGACGCGGGAGCGGAAGGAGAAAACGGAGCGGTTTTGCCCTCCTGTTTTTAGGAGCGAGCTGGAGTGAACGCGAAACCCCGGGACAGCCCAAGGGTCCCGCGGCTGCCGGCGCCGACGGCGCGGCCGGCCTCGGGGAGCCCACGGGGCTCGGCCTCTGCTCGGCGAGCAGGGGATGGAGGAGAGCGGCGTGGGGACGACCACGGGTGACGGGCCCGTGGCGCGGCCCGGCCCGGTGACCCCCGTGCGGAGTCGGGGCCACGTCGGGAGGCGCCCGGACGCGGCGGGGGCCGAGCCCCACGTCTGGAGAGGCCCCGCTGTGGAGCGCAAACGCATCCCGCTACCAGGAGTCATTTATCCGGTTTCATAAATAATATCCTTATTACCGCCAGCCTCCTTAATTCATGCTCCTGTCCGCTTGATTGCGGGGTTTCAGCAGATAAAAAGTTTATAAGTTGGTCGGGTTCTTGTTTTCCTTTTTCCATCATTAACATCATTAATATAAGCTATCAATAACCCTGTCGTGTGGAGCATAGCTTCACAGTATTGATCCGCGCAGCTATTCATCTCTGCCATAGAAGACACGGAATAATTTTCGCATTACAGTAGCTTAGATTTGCTTTTAATTCATATTTAAAGCTGCAACTGGCTCTGTGGAGCTCTCTGCGAAAGACTAGAGGCGCCTAATTAATAATAAGTTAGAAACGAAGGAAGGCACCAGCGGATAAATAATTAATACAGACATCTCTGTCTCTTTGAATATTGCTACTTTAAAAATTTAGACTTACCAGGGCCATACTGTAAGTCTGCAAGTTATATTGAGGAGATGATTTAAGAAAGCTTTTTTTTTTTTCCTGAAATACAATGCTAAATTATTTACAGGTTAGTTTCGCCGTCTGCGAGGCCGCTGCTGCCGAGGTGCGCGCAGAGCGCGGCCGCGCAACGCCCTGATGGCCTCGGGGCTCGGCGGTACCCCGCTCACCCCCTTTCCCTGCGGGAGCCGCGGAGGATACGCAGCCCCGACGGAGATCGCGCGGCCCTGAAAGCCGCACCGGTCGGAGGCACCACGGGCTCTAGGCGGCCCGGTGGGATCCACTCGCCCCACGCGGGGCTCCCTGGATGGGGAGCGCGAGCCCGGGCCCCTCGGGCCGCAGAGGCAGAGCCGCCCGCCCCGTCGGGGCCGAGCGCGGAGCCCCGCGCAGTTGGGCCGCGGATGCAGCGAGGGGCCCTGGCCCCCGCACCGGCCGCAGACCCGCGGCGCTCCCGCCGCCTTTGAAGCCCCTCGCCCAGCCCGAGCCGCGACAGCTGGCGGGTTTTGTGGCCGCGGAGCGGGGGAAAGTCCGCCCGGGTTAATCCCCGCCGCAGCTGCCGGCCCCGCGCGCCTCGGGGCCACCTTTGACACGCGGCCGGGCGCGGAGGCCGCCTCCGAGCCAACAGGTCCCGGGGCTCCGCGGGGCCGCCCCGTCCGCCCCCTCGGCCGGGCCCGGTGCGGTGCCAGGCGCGAGGCGGGCCCCACTGCCGAGCGCGCGGATCCTCTGCGGATCAAATGAAGACTTAAGGGCGGTAACGATTATTCTGTTAAATATCTGGTACTTGGCCGCGCGAGCAGGAATTGATCAGCGCTCCGAAACGGAGGGTCTCCGGTTCCCCCCTCACCGCGCCCCGCAGCTTCCCCGTGACAGCGGGGCCCTGAGCGGGTCCCGGAGCCCGCGGGCCAGGCCGGGCCGCAGCCGTCGGGGACCGCAACAGCGCAGGGGCTCGTGGCCCCCCGTGCCCGGCACCAGCGGTGCGTCCAGAGCTAATGAAACAAAAACAAAAATGCAAATTAATTTAAAAAAAGATACAAATAGGAAGAAGAGAATTAATCGCAGCTTTATCTTTTTTTTTTTTCTTTTTTTTCCCTCCAGGATTAGAACTCACACCCCTGCACAAGCGCTGCCACATCGAAGTGCTCTAAAAATTTGTTGTTGCTGGTTTTGCTCTCMTTTCTCGAAGAAAAAAAAATGTTTGAGTAATTTCCTACAAGGTCGGAGGAGCGAGTTATATTTGCTGTGATATTTGCTTTGGTAACTAACCGCTAAACGTGTGTAGATCAAATATTTGTAATTAAACCGTAAATTGTACACAGAAATGAAGAACGAAGAAGCTGGCAACGTTTCGATCGCATTCCTGACATCACCTTGTGTTGGCCTGGGAATGAATCGCAGCCCTTCCTGCCGGGTGCAAATGCTCCTTATAATTTTATTGTATGGAAACCTAAACATTTCCCGCGATCACTAATTGGGTTTGAGGTCTCTTTTTCTGCTTGGCTCGCACATCCCCTCTCCGGGCGCAGCCAGGGCAGCGGGAAGGGCGCTGGAGGCGCAGCGGGGTCGGGAGAGGCGCGGGCAGCGCCTCGGAGCCGCGGGGCACGGAGCGGGGGCCGCGACTGCGGGGTACG